TATTGGTTTTCCCAAAACGGTGTACTTTTCAAGTTCTTGAATGGCAGCAACTGCTATTTGTATGCTTCTTTCCCCTGAAATATTTCTCCCAATCTTCACAATGCCATCTGCATCCTCTCCACCCTACTGCCCTATTGTATTTATAGGAAGTGAAAAGAAAAACTAGAGGTCCATTGGAGCCTGGCAGCCACTATCGCCTGACACAGAGCAATGGTAACTGCAGAAGTGTCATATGAAATATTAGCCCCAGGAATAATACTGATCTTCCTCCTCTCAGCAACTGCAACAACCCATCCGCCTCTCTGCAATTGTGACATTCAGATGTCACCACCATTTCATTAAATGGGATCAAAACAGCTGTGAGGATTTCTGTTGTATTTTACAGCACAAAGTCATCATAACTTACTTTACAAAGCAGCTTGAAGCTAGCAGGCATGGCTGAAAAGGAAAAGCTGATTGCAAAAGGACGAACGTGAAAGAGGGACAAACTGCCCAACATCGTGGGGGCTGGTGGAGCTGGGTGACAGCTGGGAGCCCCTGACTCGCTGAAAAGAACCCAGGAGCACATGCTCATGTGGTCACTTGCAATTGTGTATTGATCAAAGATATATCACAGTACAAGTTGAGTTTAGCATCCCATAAACATGCACCTAGATGCCAAGATTCAGTTCAGCCTAAGAGAGATCACTATCTGACCACTTCTAGGGACAGAAGCTCAGGCAATGTAATACTTCCAGTCCTGTCTCCAATCTGCAATATGGCCCCCTGCCCCGACTCAGTGAAAAATCCCTCAAAACATGGTTTCTAAAACTTGGGAGGCATGCCAGTTTCCTCAGCTGGACAGCATGACCAGAGCCATGTGGCTAAAGAGTTAAGCCACCTACTTTCAAGCGAGGCAGAAGCTGGGTCTGCATTCTGCCTGTGCCACCTATTGTCTGTGTCACTGGGAGAACTACTAAACCTCTACTCCCCAGTTCACTCATCTGTAAAATGGGCTTCATAGGGTAGCAGACTTTATCAGTGCCCTGCTCTGCCCTTCAGCCTTACCACTTCCAGCCGCATTCTTTGCCTTAAGGCTTTTTCTGGGGGGTCAGAACCCACAGTGCCTGCTCACCTGGCAGGCTGGGTCCACTAGAGAATTAATGCTCCCAGGACCAGCTCTCAACCAATGAGGATGGGAATGGATGTATAAATGTGCGTCACATATAGGAACCTCAGCTCCCTTGCCCCTTGAGTGGGATAATTCTAAGACACAGGTTTTATGCCAACTCCTAGATTTCCCACAGCAGGCTCAAACTCCAGTTGGCCACAGTGGTAATGTGCTTAACAACAAACCCTGTGTTAGCTGCCTCCCCTCTTAGTCTCAATTCCCCACTCACCTCTGGGAGTTCCTGAAATCGTCTCACCCCACATCATATTTATGTAATGTGGCTGATCAACGCTACATTCTGACAAAGTGAACCACTTGCTGTCCCCCAGGGCCACAGTCCCACTCCTCCAAGGACAGCACAGAAAACTTATCACAAACTCCATCTTTTTTCTTGACTTCTAGTATATAACTGAGACTGTTTCCACAGGAAAAAAAGAATCTGTGAATAAATTTTCTTCTCTTACCCTTTTAAGGATTCAGGCATTCAAAAAATGAGCAACTATACACCAAGAGCTTAGATTTCCTTGGTAATGGTACTACTTCAGAATTAGCAGTTATTAGTGGGAAGGTTGAAGTCTGGAGCTTGTTAGCACATTTAGTTGGAACAAAGGTGTTAATGAAAGTAGTGTTTGCATTTATTTCTCATCAAGGCTAAATGAAACTGGGTAGAAGAGTCAGATCAAGTTCATCTTCTGGTGGAAAAACAATTCAGCGCACAGACTCTCTTAATCGAGAGACAGTCACGTAGGGATAGCAGCCAGTATTGTCATTACTCCCCATTATTTGAATGCTGGCTTCAGGGTCAGGGCACCTATGCAAAGGAGTATCTGTGGCCTGGGCATCTCAGAGCCATTTATAGCTACACAATGCAGTCATGGCACTTGGCAGAGGCTGCCATTTTCTAGATGACAGAACCAGCATTTACTCCCTGTGGAGAGCCGATTCCTCTCTGAGGGTCTACAATCTTTGTGAACTCTGGGGATCCTGAAGTGTGTCTCAGGGTGACTCTTGTTTCCCTTTTCCCCACTTTCTAATCAGTTCAATGTCAGACCTGTTTCAATGCTGATGGGCCACCACCATCCTTGGGGAGTACTCTGATCCCTTTTCTGTTCATTTAAGGGATTTAGGAATGCTTGGTAGACAGCCACTTATTAGAACCAATGAGGCCCGTATAAAGCTTAAGAGATGCTAATGAACCTGCTCTGGGCTGTCAGAGGACTTCTTCCTCTGGTGTCTTGGACAGTCCCATAACTTGTCGATAGACAGGGCTGTTTCAGAAAATAGCATTCTTTATGGTGGCAATTCAGTTTCACATGCGAGTCCTCGACAGCAAAAGGTATTTAAATTTAAAAGCATATTTTGATATAAAGTCTATGGAAACCCCTCTTCTCTCCCAGTTTATTTGGATACTCTTACCAAACAGAGACCTTGGGGCTGGCTGCTTCATGCCTATTTCGTTTTCCCACTCAATCCATTTTCACTGAAAAGGAGACATAAGCAGTGAAGCCAATATAGTTTTATTGGATCCAATGCACTGCCACTAAAACAAATATATGTACACTCAGGCCAATACACTTTTATTAAAACAAATAGAATTTAATTCAAACCAGCATTCAATACGTTTTCTCAAAGCAATGAAATTAAGCTCTACCAGTACTTCTGCTCAATATGTTTTCTCAATCAAATCCATTTGAACAAAGTGAAATATATTTATCATAGATAACACATTTTTATTAAAAACAAATTCACTGAAACCAAGTTTCCCTTTGAACTGATAGATAGAAATTCTAACCAATTGCACAATTAGATCTTAGAAACGGATGTATTTTTACTTTAGCAAAAAGCATTTCGATTCCAGTCCACTTTAAAACACACTAATGAATAATAAAGTTGCCCCAACAATGTCTTTAATGGAATATTATTTCCAAAGTATGTCCTTTGAGGTTGAAGCACAGTCTAGAAAATTTTTTTTAATGTAGGGAAAAAGAATAGTGCTGGAATAGGATTACAATAACTTCAGATATTTAACGATTAAATATTTATCCTACCTATGCGTAATTAAAAGTGTTGTTGGATGTGCACAAAGCATAAAGACAGGCTTGGGGGTATTTTTTAGTTGCATTTGCTACTATACCACATTAGCCAGAAAAAACTTTCCTTGTCATTGATGAAAAATACTCTCTTTTCTCATCTGTCTGAGGTTAGCTAGGGATTGCCATGCATAGAGAACTTGATGGTATGGGAGGTCATTTATTTGTGTGGCTCTTTAGAGGGACTTTCAGTTTTGGTGCCTAGATCACAAACCATATTCAAGTCTTCTGAAGAACCATGGAGAAGGAGAACAACTTACAAATGCCACGCACCACTTGGGAAGTAACAAACTCACTACAAACAGGTGTATCCAAATATTTCCCACCTCTCTGCAGAGCCACTAATGCTCCTGACACAAGGCAGACTCCCAGGTAGAAAAGCACCTCTGAAGAAACTAGAGCTTACCCACAAGGAATATGAGGGCTCTAATCAGTGGCCACTAGGAACCCCTCCCTGCTGCCTCCACGGTGGCCCCACACTCTGTCTTTTCTGCTCCCATCCTACCCCAAGGCTGTAGGATCTTAGGATAGAAATCTTCTGCCCTCACTAAGCAGCCCAGAGAATGCTCCTTAACCCAAGACTGTGGGTTCTCAGTAATGCTTCCTCCTTCCTGTCTGGAAAAGTGCAAAAAGTATAGATATGCCCACAAATTCACTGGGCAAATAATGTATTGACCTCCGGGGGATCCTGGCCTTGAATAGACTAGACCTACCTTCTCTGAAACACAACTTGTAATGGAGAGTACCCTTAGAACAGTCAGCACCAGAGGTTCATCACAGAATTGTTTAAAAGGATGAAATGTTAGAAACCCAAATATCTAGCACCCAGGGGATTGGTTAAACATACTGTAATAATATCTTCCTGATGTATTCTATAGTATTAATATCAATACACTATCATAAGCCTTCAGTAACATTGTAGAGGTATTTAATTGAATGGGAAATATTCATAGTATATTATTGAATGAAAAATGTTTAAAAGATATAGCAATTTCTTTGCAAAATAGATACGCATATCTATGCATAAACAAAAACATGGGGCGATGACGCTAAAATGTTAATAGTGGTAAGTGAGTGATAGATTATAGATTTCTCCCTCTCTCTCTCCCCCTCTTTTAAGCCATATTTTACAAATTTCCTGCAATGAACATGTATTACTTTCGATATAAGCAAAAATTATTTAAAAAGTGGTCATTTTTTAAAAGATGGTGTTAAGACCAATTTAAAAGGTAGTGAGCAAATGTTGGGCCAGCTTCTGTAATCTTAATTCTGTAACCTTAATTCTTCTGTAATCTTGATTCTGGTGTCTTTCAGAGAGGGTCAGTTCTTTGTTTCAGGTCTTGTTCTTTGTTCTTTTGCAAAACTCTATCTGAAGGCTTTCATCAAACTGGTCATTCAACATGCACTTAAACAAGAACCCAGGTAATAAATTCTGCCTTGAGTTTGTTCCAGGAAGCGGTATGGCTCAACACAAAGGATATGCATGCTTTATGTTGTCAGACGATATAAACTGTGTTGCCCAGATTCTCCCTTTTGCCTTAGCTCAGAGCTATGCATGGCTGTTTTAATCGTCTCATCTCAGATGCCTAGCAATATCTGATTCCTCTGCTCCTTTTCAGTCATTTCAATTCTGCTTTCTTACTCTATCATTCTGGTGCTTTTATTGCATTTTCTTATAAAAAGAGATCCAGATATATTTTGGAAATAGATTTGAATTACAAAAACATCCTATAGAAGCAAATCCTAAACAAATATAAATATTTGATCATGATTATGCAAAGAAAGCTCCTGCTTCCTCCTCTGTGTCTACAGAGACCCTTAGGAGTAACTCCAGGGAGAATGAAAGCTTGGGAGTCATCCCATCCCTCGCTCAGGTGCAAAATCCCCTGCCCTCTGCCTGGCACTGTTAGGGAAGGATCAGTTTCTCTGCCTGGAGGGGCAGCCTCCTGTGGCCTGGATGCATTGGAGCCTGAACACTGGAACAGAACCTCCTTCATTAGCAGTCTCCATGTGCCGTTCTGGGGAGGATTTGCTCTTCTGGACTTCTTCATGCACAAGATTCCTAGTCATGGCTTCAGCCCCTCTAGTTAGTTCACTGGGTCCTTATTCCCTGTTTTCCTGTGCCTAGCTGTGAGGTTGGAGAATGCAGATGAGAAGGAAAAAGGGGGTAGGGATGGTATGGTGTTTGGTGGTAGAGAAAGAAAGATACAGACAGAGAAACAAGACAGATACACTCAGACGTGGAACATGTTTAATTAAATTGACTTTATCCAGTTGCAGTTGAAACCAGGGTGGAAATAATTGCTGTTTCTTTTATTGTTTTAGGTGAAAATGGTAGAAATAAATGGAACTGTCAAAGTTGTAAACCTTCCCATCTTCATTATAAATAAAGAATTAAGAAGTGAAAAGTAGTAAACAGAAAGACAGGGGTTCCAAGATTTCTTTTTCTTCCTCCAAGGCAATGTCACCATGGAGCTTAGCACTGAGGCACCCTGCTTTCTGTCCTGACAGTCACTTCATTTTCTCCTCCCTTGAAAAGAGTGGCCCAGAGCACCCCCAATCCAGTCCAAAGCCAGGCCTCTCCCAGCCTGAACTTCTTCATAAACCAGTTATCCTCCCTCACTCACCTTCAAAGCATCCCACTCACCAGTTCTTTCTAGTCCTGGGGAAAATGCCTTCTCCAGAAGCTGTCCATGCCTTTGCCAATCTAGCCCCCTTAATGACCCTTTGAGGCAAACACCTTATCCCCACTTCACAGAGGTGGAAACTAAGCTTCATAGAAGTTGAGTAACACAACCCAGGTCACACAGCTCCAGCTAAGTGACAGAGCTAAGGTTCAGGCCACTCAGCTGACTCCAGTGTGGTGTGCCACCCTGTTTCTCACTGCTTTCCTGTGAAATCTCAAGGATTGTCTAGCTCAGTGTGCACCTGGGGAAGAAGAGGAAACTGAAGCCCAGAGAGGTGAAGTGGCTTTCCCAAGACCACTCCAACTATGCCACCTATCCTTGGCCTGTTTCCACTTGACCACGCAGCATGGCTCCTTATATTCAAATGCTTTAGCTAATATATTCAGATCCTAAAAACCTGCTCCTAAAATTACTGCAAGCACTTTCCAAGAGAAAGCACCTTAGTTGCAGTCTCTTTCCACATCCTTTTTAAAAACCAGAAGTCTCTAATTCAGCTGTGATCTTGTTTCATCTCCTATAATTCCCTGTCTCTGCCCTCAGGTGGGGGTGCTAATGTGTGACCACATGGCTCTAAAATGGACCAGCGGGAAGGGGAAAAGTGTTGGAAAAGACAGAGAATCAGCTCTCTCTCTCTTGCTCACTCTTGCTCTCAAACACTCCCTCTTTCTCTTCCTTTCCATCCCGTTGTCCCCCCGGGGTCTCTCTGCTGGGCTTACAAAGTGACCAAAGCCAAATGCTGGTCTGTGAGAGAAAGAGGAGGCAGACACATCGGGGAACTGAGAAGTACTTTGAAGCACCCCACTCACCATGGTATGAGGAGAAAGTTGGCCACATCCCTGGCAACTGCTGCTTCTCTTGGACTGGGAAAGGGGCATTTGCTTGTTTCTATCAGATTCATGGATACCACCAAGAAAAGAGGTCAGTCTGAGGCATTTAAGGTTTGTTGAAACACAGAGGTTTAACTGGTGATTGAGGTACATAGGGTGATATAAAGAGCATGGACTTGAGAATCTGATGGGTTTTGTTTAAAGTTAGGACTAAGCTACTGACTAACCACCCTGCTAATTGTCTTTGGGAATTATTTAACCTCTCTGAACCTCAGCTTATGCATGTAATAGGACACTAGCACACAGTGGGCTACACTAGCACACAGTGGGCTATCTATCTATCTATCTATCTATCTATCTATCTATATATTTGTTGAATTGAAATGGGAGTATTCAAAATCATTTGGGTTGCTGGCTTAAAGTAAGCAGAATAATTCAATACCTGTCCATCTGGAATCGAATTGTCCAATTTGGAGTTTCAAACATAACAAAGATCCTAGTGACCTAATATTATTGGGATAATCCTAAAATTTATTAGGAGATCGGCAAGCTCCACGATGATTGTGTACTGGAGGAAATGCACAATGCACATAGACCTTCCTAAGGGTAAAAGATTGATGTGAATTTGCAGCACTACTTAATTATGAATAATTGTTGCATGACCACACACACACAAACACGCAAACACAGAACTCACACTATAAGAAAGGAGGGGTAAATCATGACATTTGACCAAAATTAGCTCTTGTAGAGCTCAGCAATGAGGCTAAGTTTCCTCCCTAATATCTTAACAGGCTGGAGTATACGCAGGCTTTTAAGTAATGCACTTATGATCCAAACACTAGCAGACATTTAACTGGAATCCAGAAGCATTTTGTCAAAAAGGAAAAGAACTAACCAAAGACAAAAGGAGTGTTTCCCAGCTGTTTTGCCACATCACAACTTCAACAAAACCATGCCTGTCCTTGTCTTGTCACTGATGACTCTGCCAGCAGAGTGAATGAATTGGAGCAGATTTAGATTTTGAAATATCATTTGGGCAAATTACATGGCTGGACATTGTGTTCTAGCCACAGAGAATGTTCTTTTCCTGTTGGAAGCTCCGACAACCCACTGCCATGGTGAAATGTCAGGAGCCTCTTAACATTTTTCCTGATTTCTTTAAGAGTGAACATTAGACATATTAAGAACAACAGCCCGATCATTAAACCCTGTGTGGTTCTCCTAGGAGCCAGCTCTATCGCTTTAATAAGATTACGGACAACTCATTCTCATCCCAGCCATTTATCTTCTTTGTTTACACACATACCAAGTGGCATTCTTCTTAGCATCAAAAAATAGTAATCAAAATTGAGAACAACAAAAGACCTTTCATTATTTACATTGTTAAGTAACGTCTACTTGCCTTCATTAGTTTCTAAACAACGAGGTACACTGGTTCTGATTAAACCTGACATGTGTTAATTATACCCGAGGTCTGGGATTGTTTTGTCTACAATAAAGGATTGCTGAAAGCTGAAATTTGAGGCGCCCAGGCCCAGGAAGTCACCTGTCTCTATGTGTTTCCTCAGTGAAAGTTTCCAGCCTGAGAATGGCAGAAGCGGATGTGAGCTTGTCACAGAAAGCTTCATGTTTTTTTGGCTTTGTTTGGTTTCTAAGCCCTCGGTTTTATCGCCCATTTTATGGGCTGGAGTTAAATGGCAGTGCAATGCAGCTTGCTCTCTTACTGCTCAGCACTAACAGCCATGATGAGCCATAATTAGAAGTAAAACCACCACATAAATAACATGGTAGAAAAAGTGTCACCATGAGAAGCTAGACTTTGGCAATGGGAAACTTCAGCTGGTCCTGAGTATCCAACATACTTAAGGGGCACCTCGTATTTTAGCCCAAATTTGTCTTACTAAAGCCAAAATGGGAGCCAGTTAGACTTTCAAACAAGCTTTTAAAAATAGAGAATGTAGGCTTAAACAGACTGTCTGCTGCTAAGTGTGATGCAGAAACCTGTGGCCTGGAGGCCACGACAGCTGGATGGGCTGGGAGGAAGAGCCCTGGGAGCCCGCACGTGAGGAAGGGGAGAAACAGAAGAGGAAGAGGAGGCTTGGACTCCCCCCAACGACAAGGTCTAAACATATTTCACTGCAGAGCCCAAGCATCTGCACACCATTGAGTATAGCAGCTTAGATTGACGCCAGGGAACGTGTGAGGATGCCTTGCAAATTTTGCTTTCATGACCTGCACTCAGTGATGAAGTAGGGGCACGTAGACCAGCATTTTATTCTATTTCATTATTTTATTTATTTATTTATTTCGACAGAGTCTCATTGTGTTGCCCAGGCTGGAGTGCAGTGACATGATCTTGGCTCACTGCAACCTCTGCCGCCCCAGTTCAACCGATTCTCCTGCCTCAGCCTCTCAAGTAGCTGGGATCACAGGTGCCTGCCACCACACCTGGCTAATTTTTGTATTTTTAGTAGACATGGGGTTTCACCATCTTGGCCAGGTTGGTCTTGAACTCCTGACTTTGTGATCTACCCGCCTCAGCCTCCCAAAGTGCTAAAATCACAGGAGTGAGCCACCGCGCCCAGCCTAGACTAGCATTTTTGAGCACCTACTATCTCCTTGCCATTTTACTTCAATTTTAATTCTCATGAGAGCCTTAGGATGCCAAGGAAAAGGAAGAGAAAATAAATTGTGTTCTGTGCCTGAAAATGGTCTTGAAGAAACAAGAAACAGCAACTGGAGCAGAGTGGGCCTGCCCATCTGCAAAGAGGCACCAGTAGGAGTTAACATAAGGCATATCACATGGATGCCATAGAACTATCACAGCAATTTCTTTCTGAGTCAGCCACTATTGTACAGGGGATTAGAAAACAAACTCAAAAGAATAAACTTGAAATGGAAGGAACATGCTTTGTAGTCCAGTGTTTTTCAAAGCATACACAATTTTAAAAACTGATTTAAGTATATTCATTTGCTTTCTAGAGTAAGTCCTATGTATATTTCTACTGATCAGCCAGAATAGTAAAGGTCTGATCTTCATATGGAAGGAAAGGGGACATTATTTGGATATTCTGGAAGTCCACACATATTCTTTACAGAGGGTGATTTGCTTTCTCCTTTTCTCCCTTCCCTTGCAAAATCACGCAAATAAACAAGAACAAAAACCAAACCAAAACAAAATTATTGAAAACTACTGTGTTGAGGAGTTTTGTTTTGTTTTGACTGTGTCTGGTACTAAGCAGTGTGTTTAGTGAAATGGCTTTAAACTTAACCAGGAAATACAGCTCCATTTCACATGTGGATTTTGTCTGCATTTACATCTCTGCAGGCCTCACATGCCGTGACACCAAACATTTTTTTAATTAAGATATGAAGTGCTCTTTTTTGTGGACCTGCTGTATTCTAACAAATTTACTGCACGTCTCAGAAAACACATAGCTTTGCCAAAGTTGGTGAGTAGCCCAGCATGGTTTATCTCCAGCCCACAGCTCTTGCCCTGAATTCAATACTGCAGGCACAATTTAATGCTAACCCAATTTATGACTTAATGCTCTAGGGACCATAGTGGGAGATTGTTACATTATTCTTTTCTAATCCTATTTGTGTTTTAATTTGCTAAGTCTGTAATGAGGTGCATGCCTTGAATATTCAAGATCTTTCACATTGCTTTTGACTTTGTTTAATATAATAGATTTTACAGTTTGCATTAAATACCCAGGTGCTTGGTCAGTATTATCTCTTTATTTTCTCAACTACAGTGAATAAAATTACGTGATGAAAGTAACTGTGTACATGTTTCCTTGTTTATTGTAATGGTTTATTTCCTATTATAATTCTTGATTCAAATTACACCTAGTTCTCCAAAAGTCAATTCTCCATGGGCTCACTCTTCCCCTTTCCAAACAATTGTTAGTTTCTGAAGAGAAGGGCGTCTTGGCTGACAACTGATTAGTTGAAAAATAATAAGTCTTCTAGTCTCATTTATGATACTTTAATTGCACAGAAAGGGAGAAATTGAGGAAGGTAGGAAGGAAGGGAGGGAGAACTGGAGGGAGGGAGGGGAAAGGAAGGGAAGGGAAGGTGCTGTGTCACTATATGCGGCTATTTGATTTCTGGTGTTGGGCTGAAATGTACCATCCCTAATCAGAGCTGCTATATCACCCAACTCCACAGTGTGTCATTTGGTGTCCATAACTGTGTTATAGCCAATTACAGCTAAATCCTCTGTTCTGTATGCACAATCAAAGGGCGTCTGGAATGCATTTTGCTATTTTCTGAATCCTATTATTGCAGACATGTTTATTACATTCAGAAGATGGCTTTCTAAAATTACATTGGAATTGTGTGACCCACCTGCCATTTACAAACAAAATGATCTAAACATTTCTTAACAAGAAGAAAGTTCATTTAGCTCTTTCCTGGTAATTTTTCTCATGTTATTTTCTTTCGTAACTATATCTTCAAGACTCATTGCACAATGAGTCCCTAAATATCTGTTAAAATATCTAAGCTCTCCAGTTAAAGTTTAATAACCTAGCAGGTCAAAAGGGGTTGCAAACCCGTTTTTGACTCCTGTGGTGAATGCTGGCTATAATTTTCATTATTAATTTTTTTTCCAACTATGAAAAAAGGGATTGTAAAATGGATCCCAAATTATAGCCCTGAAATAGTTTAGGTTGCCTGTCAAAAGAAAAAATTTTCAAGTTCTGTCCTTAAATTTGGGGGAGGGTGCATTTTAAGAGGAAAGTGAGTGGTGTCAGAAAGACACATGATACCTATTTGAAAACATAGCATCTCATCATTAATTATTAAGGGAGAAGTGAAAGTGTTTCCAAACCAAATGCTTTCTTTTTCCCTTCTACTGAAGTTTACTCTTCTTATATTTTTCCCCCCAAGCTTACTTTATTACTGGCATTTGCCTCACAGAGCCAGGGGATATTACTACCTTTTTATTTGCTATTTTTACAGGACCCAACAAAGTGCTTTTAAAATATATAACCACTTAATTCAAGTCAAGCTTCTTCAATACTCCTTTCATTCAAGCCCTTTCTAATTTGTTTTCCTCCAGCCAGGAGCCTAGAGAAGACACTGTGATTTATGTTTTCATTTATTTATTTTATTTGGGCTTTTCATTTAAGAAAAGAAATTCCACACAACCCCCACCATCCTCCATTTTCCTTCATCTCACTCCACCCCTGCCCCCACTTCTATATTTGGACTATTAAGACTCTCAAGCCAGACTTCAGAGTTTTAAACTCATGTGTTGAGCGCTTTGACCACAGACTGGATGAGGCTTGATCTGG